GGTCCAGCGGATCCATCAGCATGCCGTCGTACTGAAGATATCTGGGCCATTGGTGCGTCTGCGCCGCCATTCTCAAGACAACTATGGGGAAATTTGTCAGCTTACTGTTGGACTCCAGCAGGTCCCACGGCACATGCTCATCGAACTGGAGCAGGTCCCACAGCACTGCGATGTAAAACAGGCCCATGTTGTTCGAGCCCTCAGATATCGCCGCCTGTCGCCAAACCGTGTCACTTGGTCCTCTGCCTTGCGACATGCTATACTGGCCTCCGAGACCTTGGTAGCGCTCCCAACGCCGAAGACGATGCCTCCATAATCTTCCCGGGATGCGGGCTGGTGCCGGGTAGAATCCCAGCGGTCGTCTGTCACCAAGAGGCTTGTGGTTCAACTGCACAACCAACTTCTGAGTCGAGGTTGGGGTTTGACCGCGCATCTCCATCAAGAGGGGCAACTTACCGAATGCTGCACGAGATTCTTCACCAAGTAGACTGTAATGGCGAGGATGCCACCCGTCAGGTTGACAAGTGTGAGTCTTGAATCGCTTGCTGACTTCCTTCACCAGGTCGGCGCTCGGGAGCTCCATCGCAGGCCTGCGCTGATCACCGAATGTAGGTCGTGCTGCAAGGGGACCGTCGCAGCCCCATGCCCTCGCCCATTTCTCATGTTCAGCAGCCATGCGTGAGGACAGCGAGCAACAATCTAGGGCAATATCAGCTGGTCCTTTGTGATGAAATCGTTGAGGCACGATGCGGTCCTTCATATATCCATGAGCTTGACGGGCGCCAGCCTCCATCGATTGGTCGCGCCACTCACTCCACTTCTTGCGGCGAATCCTGCTGCTGGAACAGACCACTCTATCATGCCGGAACCTGCGTGAGTCAAGCATCTTATCAAGGTAGGCCATTCCAGCAGCATCATCAGCAAGAATAATTCCTCCCACCATTCGGAAAAGCGAACCAGAACTTGGCACCCGTCTTCCAGACCGTGTTGAAAGGACTCTTCTTATCCAGCTTCAAAAAGGATCTCACAAGTTGGTAGTAGTGCGGCGTGTAGCAGCCTTTGTCAGACAGCACACGGACTTCCTGCAACCGGTTTATAGCCCATGATAAGGCTCTCTGGGGATCCAGCTTGGAGTATGACTTGGTCATGGGAACCTTACGCGCTGGCACCTCCATCTATTCCATGGGGGCACCGCCAGGAAGACCACGACCTTCATATCCTGTGACATGTCGTAATTCGGACCACGCCACCTTCTGCCATGTCTCATTAGCTTCATTGAGGGTACTCACGCCCTCCTTCAGCTGGTCACCATGCAACGTATAGTAGCCGCCAACCTTCTCAAATAAAGAGTCCCAGATGATATCGGCTTGCTGTTGGCTAGGTTCTGGTAGAAGTGGCCCCACCACACGTCGAGCTGGAGGCAGTTGATAGGGCTTGGACACCCTGACCTTCTCTTCACCAGACCTGGCCTTGAACGTGATCTTGACTGGGCGGCGAGGGTCCACTGGCGCACCAAGTGAAGTTCGGATGCCCTTCACCATGGGGTCTAAACTTTTGCTTATAAGGTAGAAGTCGATCGTGGAAGAGTGCGCGTCCAAAACGTATGATGGGCGTGTCTCATCTCCTCGCACAGTGCCATCTAAACTGTGCAGCGGTACCACGTCTCCTATCGCATGTGGGGGGTTATTCCAGTCACCTCCGATCAGAAATGGGGACTTGTGCACGAGCGCAGCCATGCCAAGACACCTGAGCAGCTTGAGGTTTCTGGGAGTGAGGCCCTCACCAACATACATGTACACCGTACCTATCAGCATGGCACCGAGCTCCGACGACCAAATGTAACATCGTGCTGCACGGCCAGGCTGAAGACAACCGTCATCAGGGGCCCAGCTATCAAGGTGCGAACGTACCAAGATGCAAACACCTCCAGATGCGCGTCCTCTCCCAGTGGGAAGAGCAGGTCCTCCATACATGGGCCATCCTCGCTTGGCCATCTTCTTCGTAATATCCAAGAAACGGGCAGGGGGCAATCTGTGTTCCTGAACCAAGATGATCACCGAAGTCAATCTTGGAAGTGCATTCTCCACAGGGGCCCAGGATGATGCGTTCACTGTAACCACTGGGAGACTCTGGATATTCTTATACTTCTGATTTGCTCTAGCGCTGTTCTGACAATCCCCCGCACGGTCGGTACCCTCTACACTCCTGGCCTCCGTGGCTGAGTGCGAGCAGTGCGTGCCGTGCGGGCCAGTATTCCTTCCAGCAACATGACGACGAATGTGCATTCGTGATGCTGCCCTCATTGAAAGCGCTGGCGGCGATGTAGCATCAGGAACGCTGCTGGCCTTTTCCGCCTCCCTTGTCAAACGGGCGTGGTGGTCTTGAGCCACCTTTATTGCTGCTGAGGATTCCCTGGGCCCGAGTGCGGAGACCTGACCCGTCATCCTTTCCCGAAGCCGGGGCCGATGCGGATGAACCTGTCCCAGGTGTAGACTGCGGTCCTGGCGGCGCGGGTGCTGCTGCTGCTGCTGCTGCTGCTGCTCCTTGGCCTCCAGATCCAGCTCCTCCACCTCCAGGCACTCCACCTCCTGGAACTCCTCCTTCATCAGTCTTGCTTTTTTCCCTTCCAGACGCTTCTTTGTTCTTCATGTTCAGCTCGCAACTTGTCTGCGCGATCTTTGACATTTCCAAATAGCTTTTGTGTAGCCTCTTGGAGCAAAGTTTTGAGCTGCTGTGTTCTTGCCTGGGCTGCTTGCTTCTCCTTATCTGAGATGTCGACGTACTCAGACAACCCGAAAAACTCATCAGACACCTCCTCGAACTCCCATTTGCCTGCCAATACATCTGTGATGGACACCTTGGTCGACTTCTGCGGTTCAGGATCTTTGACGCCGAGGTGAAGTTCTTCGATGGCTTGTTTATACTCGTGTTCTTGTTGCTCGACCTCACCCTGCAGCTTTTCGATCTGGTCGACGTGGTGTTCCAACTGCTGAGAGAGCCTGTCAAACGCCGACACCTGCTGTTGCAGCAACCGCTCGAGATGTTGTACCTGTTTGTGTGCCTTATCTGCTTTTGCCTGAGCCGAAAGCTGCGGCGGTGGCGCCAGTGCTTTCCGCTTCGCTGCCAATTCCTTCTCATACTAGACTGCCTGCAACTCATTTCCTGACTTCCGATGCAGCACAATGTACTGCTCCAGGTCTGTGATGGTGAGCTCTTCTGGGCCAGTGAGCGCGGCGAAGGGCGACTGGGCAGCAGCGTCGTGGTTTCCAAATGCCTGGGCGCCTGGCTGCTGACCTCCGCCCTGTCTACCTGGAGCACCTCCTGATTTAGGCCAGACGGGAACATCAGGCCACTTAGTGGGAGTGACCATTCCGCTGTCCGACCATGGGGCTTTGCAGTGCATGCGCCAGCTCCAGTGCCATCGATTGTTTCCACAATTGCATTTCGTACACTTCCAATACCAAGCAGGAGAAGAAGCATCCCGAGGTGCCATCGCTGCAGAGTACAGGAAGTAAAGGCCGATGTGTAGTACGTGGTGTCGAAACTGTGCGGCAAGCCGCAGTACAGTACCGACAAGACTGTGGGGGCCGCGGTATCCCCCCTGCCAACAACTCTCGTCCTCTGAGCCACCGCTACGGACCTGAGCCAAAATGGCTACGGCCCCCCTTCCCCCTCCCCCTCCTCCTCCTCCTCCTCCTCCTCCTCCTCCTCCTCCTCCTCCTCCTCCTCCTCCTCCCCCTCCTTCCCCCACTCCTCCTCCGACGGCCCGACTTTGTGAGCCGCCCGTCCAGGAACCTGCCGACCCCCTCCACAAAGACCAGCCCTCCACTCCGAAGCGCTCCTGCGGGCCCGGGGGGCCCAGAGCGGCCCCCTGCTGGAGGCCCAGAGACACGCTGGTCGGTCAGAAGCAGTAGGTAGACACATGCAGTAGGAAGGCGTTGGAAGTAGGTTGGGCTTCCGCCCGCCCCTTGAAGTAGAGGGAGAAAGGACACCGCTCGATCCCTGAAGCAGGAAGGCCCCTAATGCAGATTTGGGATCTGGGAAGCCAGAGGTACCTACTTTCAACGACTGGCGCGTTATGTTTCTCCAGTCGCCAGGAGGTCGGCGGCCTGCGCGCCGCCGGCCGACCGATACTCCTCGTAGGTAGGGGAGGGGGGCGACGGGTTGGACGAACGGGGGGGGGGCAGCAGAGGGGAGGGGTGGCGAATCGGCTGACGTAGCTCGAACGCCTCCCGTCGCCAGGAGGCATCCGTACGTGTGCTTATGCATGTGTGTGGGTAGACATGTAGGCATCCATACGTTCACATGTTGTACGCGTGTATATCGGTGCGCGCGTGCATGCACATGCCGACATGCTTTTAACACCCGTGCATCTGTATGCATGTACATGTATATATATGTATATATATATATATACTGTGAAGGTTTACAACTGCTGTGCACGTATATTCATAGTTTACACTGATAAACATATGTGTGTATACAATGTATACATCACTATCGCGGAAATCGCCCGGCTGTGGGTCCACATCAGCTGGCTAGGTCAGATCCAGCTGTGGGCTGCGGCAACCAACGGGCACGTGCGTGCTAAGTGGGCAGTGGTAGTGTCTTGTACGGCACCCGACGTGCAAGCTGCATGCGTACCTCTGTGGCGATGCAGGGAGGAAGAGGGAGAGCGAACGGCGCACGAAAGGAGGGGAGGAGGGACGCACGACGCGCGAGGCCTGCGAACTTCCCTCTCTTTCCTTTCCCTGCCCTCCCCTTCCATCCGACCCGAGAGGGGGGGGGGCTGGCGCGCACAAAGGGGTAGGGGGAGAGAGGGCAGCTTCTCAGACGGAACCTCTGCTTGTTGCAAGGCGCCGGCGCTGCACATCTACAGACAAGACCCGCGCCTTCTGAGAAGCAGGGGTGCCTCTAAGAAGCCTTCCCCCCTCCCCCCCCCCTCTGCGCGTGGCTGGGGGGTGGGGGCACTCGGAGCATCCGCAAGGCGGCCGCGATGCTCAGGCTCTCGAACGCGGCCACGTCGCCAACGCCCGTGGGACTTCGCGCGAGCAGCAGGAGAAGGAGGAGGAGGAGGACGAGGAGGCGGAGGAGGGAGGAGGGGAGGAGGGAGGAGGAAGGAGGAGGGAGGAGGAAGAGTGGGAGGGAGGGAGGGATGGGAGGGAGGGAGGGAGGGAGGGTAGGTGAGGAGGAGGAGGAGGAGGAGGAGGAGGAGGAGGAGGAGGAGGATGGCAAGCGCGCGCACCGCTGTCCGGCCCCGAGGGATCCCAGACTGCCAGCAGCCGGCGGCGAGACCGAGGGACTCGAGGTTCGTGCACACAGTCATCGGGCTGACCTGAGGAACGAAGCCCCTTTCTTTCCAAGGCACAGCGCACAAGGAACGGAAAATAATAAACAACGCGCACGGAACGAGAAACAACGCATGCAAGCCCGAGGAACGGCCGAGCCCTTTTTGAAAACTAGGTGCTCCTTGTGCTCCTTATTCAAGCCGCTCGCTGTAGGCCGGTGGGCTCTGCTTTCCGAGGAGGCCCCGCGAAGCATCACCGATGCCTCTGCCCCGCGTCGGCGTCGTCCTCGCTGCCGCCGCCGCCCTTTGCTACCGTCGCCCCCCCGCAGAGATCGGCGGCACGGGCCGTGAGGCCTTCCCGACAGGCCGATGGGCTTTGCTCGAGGCCGAGAGGCAAACTCAAGGTCTTGCCGCCGAAGTCGCGAGAGTGCCCGTCCTTCCGCTCCCCCTCCTCTCCCACCCTCTCCCATTTTCTCCTCCTCCTCCTGCTCCTCCTCGACCTCCTCCTCCCCCTCCTCCTCCTCCTCCTCCTGCTCCTGCTCCTCCTCTTCCTTCCTCCCCTCCTCTCCCCTCCTCCCCTCCTTGTGTCTTCCTCCTTCCCCCCCTGCATCCCCCGAACCCCCCTCCTCTCCCTCCGCCGCGCTCCCCACGTCTTCAGTGAGGCCGAGCGGGAACAAAGACACTCTGCTCAGAAGAGATGCACAAAGGACACCTCAACGCTCCGGAAGGAGGGATTGAGGAGGGAGGCCCTGGACGTTTATTGTTGCTTTTTAGATCGAACGTATTATTATATTGTGTGTGTTTCGCTTTTTTGCTTTTTGGGAGGGGCGAGGCCCTGGACGTTCTGATTCGCCCCTCGTGGACACGACTGGACGCAGCGCGAGAAACCTGGTGGGGATGGTGACGCGGAGAATTTCCATGTCCGACTTCGAAACGAAGTGCATCAGGGGATACGCGCCCACGGGCGTCCCGAACAGAATTTCGACGGCGGTCTTCTGTGAGCCTAGGGCCTTCAAAGCTGCTCTCGGGCACTAAAAACCTCAGAGAATGATCCCGCGACGCCGTCGTCGTCGTGGTCGCCCTCCGCCTCCGCCTCCGCCCGCTTCCGCCCGCTTCCGCCTCCTCCGCCTCCTCCTCCTCCTCCTCCTCCTCCTCCTCAACGTCTTAACATTCCAACGGGCCCTCTCCTCACCCGAGGGCTTCGTGATCGCCGATGTCGGCGACTTGATCAAGGTGCATCTTCTCTCGAGGGGGGCGCTCGAAACTCACGAGCTCACTGCTCGGAGAGGCCTGGGCCAGAGCTCTGGCAACACATATCGAATATGAATCTTGTGAGCCAGCCCAGGGCGTGCGGCTTCATGCACGCGCAGTCCTATCCCTCCAACGGCTCAGAGTCTCGGCGCCTGCATGCCCGTCAAAAAACGACCTGAGGCGAAACGATAATGATCCCAGGGAAGGGGGCGCGAACGCCAGGGGCCAACGCCTTGAACACGAATACGAAGTCCGAGGTCTGGGATACGTTTCAGAAGATGCGACCTCCGAACACCTCAGAAATCTTCTCCCTCCTCGTTCCTCCTGGGTCACCAGATCCGTTTTGGCTCAACGTCAGGCTATGGACGTTTTCCGAGCTACACCCATCCATCCGTGGCCACGAGAGCTGCCCAGGAGGATCAACAGTTGTCAACGCAAGCATAGACATCCTCCATCGTTCCTCCTCTTCCTCCTTCTCCTCTTCCTCCTCATCATCATCACTATCCTGATTATCATGATGATGATGATCATCATCATCATCATCAGCATAACCATTATCACCATCATCATACTCATCATCATCAACATCAACATCATCATCAGCATCAGCATCGTAATCATCATCATCATCATCAGCAACATCATAATCAGCATCAGCATCAGCATCAGCATCATCACCACCATCACCATCACCATCACCATCGTCACCATCGTCATCACCATCGTCATCACCATCGTCATCACCATCGTCATCATCCATCGTCATCACCATCGTCATCACCATCGTCACCATCGTCATCATCACCATCCATCATCCATCATCATCATCAATCAGCATCATCATCATCAGCCATCATCATCATCATCATCATCATCATCATCATCATCATCATCATCATCATCATCATCATCATCATCATCACCATCATCTTTCTCTCTTTCCATCTGATCCCTCCGCCCTACCCCCGCCTCCCACGCGCTGACCTCCACATCCCGCCCCTGCAGTCTGTCAGGGTCGAGACGTCCATGCACGTCATCCAGCACTCGATCTGGCCCTCCGAGCAGCCCCCCAGCTGGTCTGCCTCTGGGAGGTCGTCGTCGTCGTCGTCGTCGAGTCGAAAGCGCGGGCCCCACGTCGCGGAATAATCCGAGTCCTCGGAGGCTTTCTGAGGGCTGGGGCGACGCCAACGAATATCTCAAAGCCAGGAATCTCTTTTTTTCTCTCTCTCTCTCTCTCTCTCTCTATATATATATATATACACATAGATACCTATGTATATATATATATATATATATATATATACATATGTATATACATACATATATAAAAGCCTCGACATCTCCTGGGACACCTTCTGATACTTTCGCTAATATGTCGCCGGCCGCCCTTACCTTCTGCGCGGATCCTCCGCCCGCTTCCGCGGAGCGAACGAGATCAACTCTTCGGGTCGTCAAGCCACCACCAAGAAACTGGAGAACCACATCGAAAGTAGGACTGGGTGCACTCGTAGGATGTGCGAAGGCTGACCGCTGAGCATACACGCGGATGGCTGGCTCAATCAACCTTGTGTATGCCATGGCAATGGGCATTCGAACAGCCCTATCATCGGATTTTGAGACATTGTTTTCATACTCCAAAGCTGTATGGACCATGTGTTAAACATGCTTTTGTTGTATGCTGAAACCTGTTTTAAACATTGTCTTTAGACATCTGGAAACTACTTGACAACATGCCTCCTCTCCATTGGTCGTCTTCCACATAATCACCCGTGCATGTGAAGGCCGAGAGCTGAAAAGAAATGCGGCCACATACAGTCATCGGCCTGACCTAAGGAACGATACATAACGAAGCCCTTTTTTTGTCCAAGTAAGTCTACGAAGTCCGAAGGAACGGCCGAGCCCCTTTCTAGCGCCAAAGAGGTAGCGGAACGCATGCGAACCTGGAGAACGACCGCGCCCGTTTTGAACAAGACCATGTTCCTTGTTCAAGCCGCTCGCTGCACCCAGTCCGGCGACGCCACGTGGGAGAGCCTCCGGAAGGCCTGGGCCCGCCTGCATCGACCTCTCCTAGGGCTCCCAACTTCGCGCTTCGCGCTCCGCGAAGCGCGAAGCGCGAATAACTTCGCGCCCTCGCGCCGCCCCCCCAAAGGGAGAAAAGGAGGACGAGGAGGAGGGGGAGAAGGAACGAGGACCGCGAAGCGCGAAGCGCGAATAACTTCGCGCCCTCATGGGAGCCCTTGCCTCTCGGGGGTCAGCTTCTGCCTCCCCGCCCGCCTCCGCGCGCAGACCCGCCCTCGTCTGACCCCCGCTGGCCACCGCCGACCTACCGCCGGCCTCCGCCGAGGGCGGCTCGTGAGATGCCGTCGGCCAACTCGACGACGAAGCCCTGCCTGGAGCGCCAACGTCATTCGGGGCAACTCCATCCTCGTCTTGTGGCCTCGCGACGCTGTGACCCCTGGCGAACGCGCTGAGAACAGGCCCCGAATCGCGCCCCCTTGGAACCCATCTAGGGTTGGGTCGGGCATGTCTTCCCACAGGGGGATTTCGGACGAAATATTCAAAGCAGTAAAACAACCAAATTGGTAAAAAAAGAAATATCGTCTCAAGACTACTTTAAAACTATTTTTGAATATTCCTCCTGTAGAGGGACAGGCCCGACTTATCTAGGGGCAGCTGCGACCAAACACCGGGGCGTGCGGCACGCCCCAAGCGGTTTCGCTGAGGCGGTCCTCAAGGAATCTTTCCCAAGCGTCCACCAAAGAGGGTCGCAATGCAACACCTGTCTGGACGCGATCCTGGGCCACCGCCAACTACTACTCCCTCCTCCTCCTCCTCCTCCTCCTCCTCCTCCAACCTCCTCCTCATCCACCTCATCCTCCTCCTATTCTCCTCGTCCTCCTTCCTCCTTATCCTCCTCCTCGCCTCCTCCTCCTCTCCTCTCCTCCTTCCTCCTCGTGCTCCTCGTTGCCTCTTGTCGTCCACCTCGTCGTCGTCGTCGTCGGTCGTCGTCCTCCTCCTCCTCCTCCTACCTCCATCCTCATCTCCTCCTCCCCTTTCCTCTCCTCTCCTCCTCCTCCTACCCTTCCTCCTTTCCTCCTCCTCCTCCTCCTCTCCTCCTAGTGCTACTCCTCCCCCTCCTCCTCCTCCCGCCTCCTCATCTCCTCCTTCCCCATCTCCTCCTCCTTCCCCATTCCTCTCCTCCTCCTCCCTCCTCCTCCACCTCCTCCTCCTACCCTCCTCCTCCTCCTCCTCCTCCTCCTTCCTCCTCCGCCCCTCCTCCCTCCCCCTCCTTCTCCTACCTCTCCTCCTCTCCTCCTCTGCTCCTTCCTCTCCTCCTCCTCTACTCCGCCTAACGCCTCCTCCTCCTCCGCCACCTCACCCCCCCTCCCCACCCTCCTCCTCGTCCTCCTCCTCCTCCTCCTACTCCTTGTCCTGCTCTGCTCCTCCTCCTGCTCCTCCTCTCCCTCTGCTCCTCATACCTCTTCCTCCTCCCCCTCCTTTCCGCGTCCTCCTCGTTCCTCTCCTTCCTGCTCCACCTCCTCGATGCTCCTGCTCCTCCTCCGCCTCCCCTCTCCTCCTCCTCTCCCTCCTCTCCTCCTTCACTCCTCGTCCTCCCCTTCCCTCCCTCCCCCTCTTACGTCTTCCTGCCCTTCGTCACCTCTACTCTCCTTCCTTTCTCCTGCTCCTGCTCCTGCTCCTGCTCCTCCTCCTCCTCCTCCTCCTCCTCCTCCTCCTCCTCCTCCTCCTCCTCCCCCTCCTCCAGGAGGTTAGTTTTTTTCCCCCCCCCGACGCCGGGAAATCTGGGGACGCCGCCCAGCCCCGTGGTTGCCAGGGGGTTGTCCCTGGCCCCGAGCGTCCCCAAGGAGCTTCGGGGAGAGCGCGGCATCCCGAGACTCGGGACGGGCATGCCCTCCTACAGGCGGATTTCGAGGGACAAAAAAAGAAATAGTCAAACAAACTATTTGACTATTTGTAAATCTGTTCCCCTGTGCGAGGACAGGCCCGACTTGGCCCAACCCGCGCGGCGACCCCGCATCTCCGCGGGCAATCCACGCGGCGGTGGGATCACCGCACCTGTTGGGGCCCCCAGGCAATCGAGCCTCCTTGGGCCAAGAAGATTTGCCCCCCCCCCCCCCACTCGGGGGCGCGCAAACATGGATCGGGGGAGGTGCCCTCCCCCAAAATGCGGCTGGTGCCGCCTCTTTCGGCGGCAGAAATCCGCGATTTCCCATGGAAATAGGACCCGTCGCTAATTTACGCCCCCTTGATTTATGCTTGCGATCGCCTGAACTTAGGTCGGACATGTCCTCCTACAGGCGGACTTCGAGGGACAACAGTAAACAATAGTCAAACCGCACTCAGACAGAGGCAAAAATAGTAGAAACATCTTCCCCCCATCATTCTCTGACCATTGTTTGGGATATTCCTCCTGTAGAGGGACATGCCCGACTTGACCCAAGACGTGCCAGGCGTCCCCAGGGCATGTCAGGAGGTGTTCCTGGCCATAGGCGTCCCTGTCCCAAGGTGATGTGCCCCTGGCCCAAGGTGCCCCCAGGACTTCGAGGAATGCGTCCCCGCCACGAGGCCGGCGGGGCCGCAGGGCCTCCAAGAGGGCAGGAAAAATCACGGACGCCCTTCGACGATTTTCCTCAGAGCGTGTGCTGGCTCCAACGTCTGCTTGTCCACCACCAGCCCTTCAGCACGGCGCGGACGTTGTTAGGAGGGCCGGCACAGGCCGCGTGCTATCGGCGGAACTGGACGGGGCAACGCACACAATGAGCTAAGACACGTTCCGAGGATCATCATCACCGGGCCCCCAGAAACGTGTGATGACGAACCGCGTGGTGAACTCTTCGGTGGCAACTCATGGGAATCTCCCATACCATCTTGTCGGATCTTGCGAATCGACGCTGATCGACGCTACATCGACGCAAATCGACGCCAGATCGACGCTCATCGACGCTACATCGGCACTATCTCATCGACTCCAGACGCCAATCGACGCTGATCTACGCTGAAGACGGAATTAAAAGAGTAGACCATTGAACAGGGACCTTCCGTCCCGGCATTCCTGTAGGCCTACCACGGAATGTTCTTAGAACCCGAAATGTTCTAATCACAGTAACAATGTTCTTAGAATATGAACCCGATGTGCTAGAACAAGGCAGACTCAGCAAGAACTGTTTTAATAACATTTCGTGCAAACCACAAACGGTTCTTAGAACACTTCTTGGTGGGCCTATAGGCGAGCCAGAACGCTTCGCCACTCAGGCTCCCACGATTTGCCACCGAAGGACTCGGAATCCCCAACGACCTCGCTGCGCGGTGCCTCCCCGCACAGTTCCTGGGACTCGGGGGGGGACCCGGGTTGCCCGAGGCGTCCCCCTCGGAGAACGGCCAGGAGGCCCCAACCCTTAGGTCGGGCACGTCCCCCTACAGGCGGATTTTGAGCGAACAATCAAAAATGCCCCCAAAATACATCAAAACAATCAAACACATGCTCAACAAATCGTCTCCAGATTATATTTTGACTGTTTTTATATACTCCCCTCGTAGAGGGACAAGCCCGACTTGGCCCAACCCGCGCGGCGACCCCGCACCTCCGCAGGCTCACCACGCGGCGGTGGAATCACCGCACCTGTTGGGGGCCCCAGGCAATCGAGCCTCCTTGGGCCAAGGAGATTTGCCCCCCCCCCCCCCCACTCGGGGGCGTGCAAACATGGATTAGCGATCCATGTATTTGGCGCGCGGTCGCCAAATCCATGGATCGGGGGAGGTGCCCTCCCCCAAAATGCGGCTGGTGCCGCCTCTCTCGGCGGCGGAAATCCGCGATTTCCCATGGAAACAGGACCCGTCGCTAATCCACGCCCCCTTGATCCATGTTTGCCATCGCCTGACCCACCCCCCTCCCCCCCAAAAAATCCCCCCCCCGCAGAACTTGAACAGGGACCGACCGGCCTAGCATTCCTGTAGGTCCACTACGGCACGTTCTCAGAACAGTCGAACGGTACAACATGAGAAGACCATGGTCTTCTCACAGTATGAAGGCCCGATGCGTGAACACGAGGCGGCCTCGGCCAGAAATGACCTCAGCACAGCTCGTGTAACCCGCAGGAAGTGATTCGAGCATTCCTTCCTGGGCCTATAGGCAACTCGGGGACGCCTGGCCACTGCTCGAGGGGACGAGGACGGGGAATGCGCGGGGGCGCGGCCAGCAGCTTGCCCGCGCCGCAGCCGAGGGCAAGGACCTCCGTGGACCCGTGCCTGCCGCGCCGCCGCCGCCGCCGCCGTCCTCGTCGTCGTCGTCGTCATTGTCGTCGTCGTCGTCGTCGTCGTCGTCGTCGCCGCCGCCGCCGCCGCCGCCGCCGCCGTCGTCGTCGTCGTCGTCGTCGTCGTCGTCGTCGTCCTCGTCGTCGTCGTCGCCGTCGTCGTCGCCGCCGTCGTCGTCGGGGTCGCCGCGGCCCGCCGCGCGCGGCGGCGGGGCCGTCGGGCAGCGTCGGGGGGGGCCGCCGCGAAGAGGGAAGGGAGGGAACCTGACTCGGGCGCGAGTGGTGGGGGGCGGTAAAAGAAGGGTAGTAAAGGTGTTCTGGTCGACTTGGGAATGCAGAACTCTTGGTTCAGACATGAAAACGGATGCGTTTGAGGTCTTGGGGGGGTCTGCGCATCATGCAATTTTTCATTTGACTTCCAGGGGGGGGTCTGCGCATCATGCACTTTTGCATTTGAGCTCCAGGGGGGGGTCTGGCGCCGCCGCTGCCGGAGACGGTGGCGCCGAAGACGACGACGGCGACGACGACGACGACGACGACGCCGGCGGCGGCGGCGGCGGCGGCGCCGGCGGCGGCGACGACGACGACGACGACGACCCGCGGGCCCATGGGGGGTGCCAGGGAGCGCCTTTTCTTTCACCATCCACAGTCCACCCTCCCTCGACCCTCCCCTCCTCCTCCTCCTCCTTCTCCTCCTCCTCCGGCTCTGGCCTCCCCCTCCGCGCGGCGCGCGGCCCCGCGCCCCGCGCCCTCGCCGCCCCCCTTCCACCCCTTCCACCCCCTCCCGCTTCCCTCCTCCCTCGCCCCTCCTTTCCTCCCTCCTCCCTCCTCCCTCCCTTCTTTCCTCGCCCCTCCCCTCCTCCACCCCCCCTCCTCCCTCCTTCTTTTCTCCTCGGGCCTCGCGCGGCAATGCCGCGCGGAGCCCTGCTGCTGGCCGCCTACCCGGACGGCCGGTGGCGGCGCAGCCAGGGGCGGCGCAGGGGGCAGGGGCATGGCAGCAGGAGGGGTAGGGCAGCAGGAGGGGCAGGGCAGCAGGAGGGGTAGGGCAGAAGGGAACAGGATGGGCAGCAGGAGGGATAGGGCAGCAGGAGGGGTAGCGCAGCAGGGCGGGTAAGGAGCAGGCCAGCGGAGGGGTAGGGCAGCGGGAGGGGTAGGGCAGCAGGAGGGGTAGGGCAGCAGGAGGGGTAGGGCAGCAGGCAGCAGGACGGGTAGGGCAGCAGGAGCGTTCCCCAGCGACGGCGGCGATGACGACGGCGGCGGCGGCGATGACGACGGCGGTTCCGCGACGACGACGGCGGCGATGACGACGAAGTGGACAGCGTGGTCCGAGAGCTCGGAGCTCGAAGCCCTCCTGCTCAAGCTGGAGGGTTTCGAGCTCTCGGTGAATAAAGCGAGAAGCGATGCATAGCAGCAAACGTTAAACATCGCAGTGACAGCCTATCGGATAGACTGAAACTATATGTATACACTGTCAAATCGCCAAATCCATATATATATATACACAAATGCACAAACAACAACGACGACGACGACGACGGCGACGGCGACGACCGCGGCCTCGCTCGCCGCGGCCTCGCCTGCACGAGTGGCGGCGGCGGCTGCGGCGAGCGCGTCAGGAGGATAGCAGGAGCGGGAGGAGGAAGCGGAGGCAAGAGGATGTGGGGGAGGAGAAAACGCGGGAGGAGGAGGAGGGGGAGGGGGAAGAGGAGGAGGATAATGACGAGGACGAGGATGAAGGATGAAGGAGGAGGAACAGGAGGAGGAGGAGGAAGATAAATACTGATTTCCCACCCGAGACGGGCTGGGCAGGCGGTCGGCCCGCGGCGCCCGGGCCACGCCGCGCCCGGCCGCGTGGCTCCAGGAGGCGCTGCGCGAGGCAGGGGCGGAGCCCGGCAGCCTCCTGCGCCGCCTCCACCCGGGCGCCAAGGAGAGAGCGAGGGGCCTCGGGCCTTGAGGGATGAGGGACTAGGGAGGCTGAGGGGCTCCGGGCTCCGGGAGAGAAGCTGAGGGAGCTGAGAGCTGAGGGGCCCGACGGGGAGGTGGACTGAGGATGAGGAGTGAGGAGTGGGAGGCGAGGAACGAGGCCGGGAGAAAAGGAGCGATGTGGGGAAAGGGGAAATGGGAAGGAAGGGCCCGTCGCTTAGGTAATGGACGTGCTGGGGCGGAGTGCGGACGGGGGTGAGCTGGTGAGTT